ATTATTGCAATAAAATGTCAAGAAATGTCAAGTTATGGCTGGATCAAGTTCACACGGTCAAAGGACAAATATTTCGGAGAAAGAACAGAAATAGTAAAAAAGGAAAAAGTGAATACCTTGTGTTGGTTTAAGGGTAATAAATCCACAGAAAGCAGCAGGAATACGCAAACTACCGGCAAGGTCGCTTCCAGTGCCAAACGGAGTACCACCGGCAGCGAAAAGAGCACCTTCACCTCCAGAAGAACCACCCGGAGTCCTAAAGTTCAACGACGGAGGTGAATATCACGTGCATTGAAAAAATTAGAGATATCAACCAGAAATGGCAACCAGGAACATAAAATCGCTATATTGATAATAATATTCCAAAGCCTAAATATTGCATTAAGTACATATTATGCAGACCTGGTCACATCAAGAGGATTCAATGTGGTTCCATAGACACTATTTGAACAAACGAAAGAGAGCAGAGCTTGTGGAACATTAGTGATGACGAAAGGGATCTATAAACAACTAATGTGTGAAAACCTTCGCAATTACTAGGAGAAATCTTGTATATACTATGCAAATAATAATGGCGCGTGTGGCGTAGTGCTCGGAGGGGCCCGGCAATACACGTGGGATCGATTCCCGTGTCTCTATCCCACCAAGCCTTTCTTCCCTCCGAGGTCGGCAAATCGGTACCAGATTTGTCTGGGAGAATAGCAGCACTAGCTTGATATATCGGTAATCGCGGCGAGTCATTGTAAAGGCCAGATATGCATTCAATCACCTAGAAACGATGCCTAATGAAGTCGAATTCATTGCGCATCGCTTGCGAACAGCAATTCTAAGTGGTGAAGACAAGGTCAAGTATGGGCAAAAGTGATCATGTACTTGCTCTGAAACGAGTGGAAATTCAGCAGAACATGTCTATTTGTCCATCACGTCGAAACCACAAATACATCCGCATATTCATCATTACATAGTGCATGCAAGCACGGGTGTGGTTATGAGCACCTGAATCGTACCCTCGACAATTAATTGGGCAAAACTCTCGCTTGCAAAAACTGCACTCAACTCAAATGTAGCTGCTATATGTATATATGTATGTATGTACACATTCATATATATATATATACATATATATATATATATATATATATAGGGCGCAGTGCTTAGAGGCGCCACTGCGACACTCACGTGGAATCGATCCCCGCGCCCATGGCCCACCAAGTCTTCCATCTCTCCCGGGTCGGCAAATTGGTACCAGACTTGTCTGAGAAGACAGCAGCACTGGTTCGATACATCGCTAGGCCACCGCGAGGAAAGGCCAGATACGCATTCAGTCACCTCCAACGATACTTAATGAAGTCGAATGCATGGCGCATCCTCAGGGATTGATCATAACCACACTGGCTTGCATAATTATAGCTTCAATAAGGGGTTTTGGTGTTTGCATGTAGGCGCTGTTAATGCAGACTCTCAGAAAAGTACCATAAGATTTTGAGATGTTAACACATATACGAAGATGAAAGGATAAAAGCTCTCGGCGTTGACCAATCAATAGGTAACGCGACATGCCATCGACCTCATAAATCATCGCTAGAGGTTAATGAACCATATCTGGCCTATTCAAAGAATGGTGGTGTGCTACCGATGTACCGAGTTAGTGCTGATATTCCCCAGGCAAGTATGGTGCAGTTTGCCGACCCAACAGACGGAGAGTTTGGTGAACCAAGGGCGCGGGATCTATATTTATTTCAAGGCACCTCTCACCGTAGGACAATAGCTCCCAATATTACGACACCATCTTGATCTATCAGATTTTTTAATATGATCCCTTCGTAACCGATTTCTCGCTGTAAACGATGGAATAACAGCGCATGGAATTGTACGAACAGCACATAACTCACATGACATATGAGAAGGCAGGGTGAAAGAAAAATGAAAAACTAAAATGATGATAGCATAAATATACTTCGTTGCATTCGTGATGCTCCATTTAGAGTGACAGGAATCACACTGGACCACAGGTAGAGACAATTCCGATGGTATGAGGCACCAATAACTCACTCCCTTAGCATCAGTAGCCAGTAAATAAAAAGTTGAATATTTTGATTTTGACAGCAGCACCAGCTTAAATAGGTCCAATGCTGATTTGTGCTCTCCAGATCATTCCCATTGGTGAGTGACTGCTGACAGCACCGCTAGGCTGAAAATTTGTTGAGAGAAATGCACTGTAAGGGCAACAGTGGTGCAGTCGGTAACTTGTTAAACTGAAAAGCGTAGCCGCGGATTTCAATCTGGTCCGAGGTCCGAGTTCTGCAAATATCTCAGCATCACTGTGGTTGCATTTCACATAACACCCTGCCAGGATCTCATAGAGGCTTCTCACGCCGGTTAGTCGCGAGGCAGTGTGACGCGTCCTTAAGCTGATAGGAGGATAACTGCACACGAAAAGTGATCCTTGCTTTCTCGACCGCAAATGGATCCATAGGATGGATTCACTGTTTCTGCTGCCACTATTAGGTAAGAAGCTTCTGTATTAATGAGGACGCACTCATGCATGAGTACGAAGAAGTGTTCTCCTCGTTTATGCGGATTATGTTCAACGAATCAATTTGGTCAGAAGCCAGCAATCAAGTGGTATATGAAAGGTGGTCTGAAGTCGCCTCCAGCAAGTACGCTCGCCGTCTATCCTGAGAGATCTTGGCAGGCTACCCAAGAATATGCCCAGCCCCTATGTTCAGCAAACTATAAGTGGGTATCAAAAGCTAAACACTGTCAAATAAACAAGTTTGTCCATTAACACCGATTCAAGAAAAAACAACCCGAACCGGACGTTTACAACTGAAGAGATGTGGATCAATACCGACTTTGAGAATCTTCGTCGTTTATGCGCCGACATCAGACTATGACGAAGAAGAAGTCGAAGCGTTCTACATGAACGTGGAGAAGCTCTACAGAGAAGACCTTAAAGGTGACCAATGGAGATTTTAACGCTAAGAATGGACCGAGAAGAAAGTCTGAAGAACGTCACAGGACCGACGTACTGGAATGCAATGAGCAAGGTGAATGTCTGAGTTTATCATGACGACAAAGATCATTCATGGTAACTCGCAATTCCAGAAGTCCTACACTAAGCGCTGGAGGTGGGAATCTCCCAATAGAGAATACCACAACGAAATAGACCACATCATAGTAAATATAAGGTTCTGTTTTAGCAATGTCGTTGTTGTCCCAAAATTCTACACGCGATTAGGCCATCACCTCTTTCGTGCAAAATTTCATTTCTCGTGGAAAGAAGAAAAACCCACTAAATTCAAAAAAAACGAAGTCTCAAAACCACCATAAACTGGAATTTATTCAATTCATTAATCGGATGCTGGGAAGATGCCGTCCCCGATAACATCGACGAGGTATACGATCGGCTCATTTAATATCTTCACGTTAGCGCTATGAAGGCTGAGAGTTCGAAAGTCACCAAGAGATGTTTGTCTCCAGAAACACTAGAGCTGATACGCCAGTATGGAATCGCATGAGCTGCAGGCAACCGCGAACTAACGTTCGAACTTGCAAAACAAAGCAGACAGGCGATAAAAGCAGATCTTAAAGAGAGATAAGCACCAGTTACGGCCGAAGTGCAAAGTCCATGAAAAGCAATCGCAAAGCCCCCAGAACATCGATAACTGTAACACCAAGATTATTGCACTTAGAAGACCAAACGGAACGGTTACAGCTTCCAGAAAGGTAATGGAGAAATAATTCGCGATTACTACTCGAATGTTTCCAATAGTCACAACCTCCTGCACTCCTGTAAAATAAAGGAGGATGGATACTTCGTACCTGCGGTTCTCCTCTCCTAAATCCTAAACAACATTTCGTCTGTGAAGAATCAAACAACAACTGGTCGGAAATAAGATCTAAATACCTGAAGAATCTTCCGCCACTCCTCGTAAACACACTGGCTCAGCTCTTCACACGTCACCTGTCTGAATACAAGGTTCCTACTCAATGGAAGGCCAGCAAGGCCATGTTATTGTTCAAGAAGGCTGACTTACACGATATCGCCAACTATCGCCCAATCTGCTTGCTGTCTGTGGTCTACAAACTTTTCACTCGAGTCATCCTAAACAGTATTGACAGAACACCGGACGAAGGACAGCCATGTAAGCAAGCAGGGTTTCGAAAAGGATTTACTACGATGGACCACATCCACAGGGTAACAAGGCTCATTGAAGTATCGTTGCTGATGACTTCGCCCTTATAATACCAAACATTAGCCAAGCAGAACGTATGCTTACCGACTTTGATAAAGCCTGTAGAAAGATTGGTCTTCGACTAAATCTCACAAAAAACGATGTTCATGAAGAACGGATTGGTTTCGTAGGCTCCATTCACGCTCAACGGAACGAACATCTCCGAATTCTCCATTTATGTCTATCTAGGTTGAGAAGTCAATGCGGAGAACGACTTAGCTCTGGAGTTGAGCAGAATGAAACGAGTGGCTTGCTGAGCTTTCAAGTGCATCGAGAATGTAGTAAACAGAAGAATGAAAACCCCACTCCGTGTCCACCGCTTCGATTCCACGATTCCTCCTGCCTTAACGTATGCGTAAGAAACCTGGTTGCTACGAAAAATGACTGCGTTATTGAAGACGCAGTAGGAAGGACAATGCTAGGAGTATCCTGTGTCACACAAGTGAGAGAAGGAATCTGGAGCTCCGACCTACTTCACCGATCAAAAGTCAAAGAAACCGTTCTATACGGCCGGAGTCAAAGATGAGGTGGGTGGGACATGTATTGCATACGAACAGCTACCGATGAACAAGAACCGTTGGTGACTCGACTGTTCTGGACGTGAAATGCATTTCAGGAGAATCACCGACCGGATGGTCAGAGTTACTCACGAAAACCCTGGAAGAATATCATGCTAAACGAGCTGCCAGAGCGAGAAGAACCCACTGGTGCCTGCGACAAGAAATGGAAGACTTACTGGCGCCCTCAATGCTCATTCGACGATCCATGGGACGACAGTTAATAACCTGCCAGAAAAAAATAATCGGCAGCAAATGAAAAGTTAAACATTGTGACTTCAACTGCAGCTTCAGCTAATCTGGGTTCCGCCTATTTGTGTTCTCCATATCATTCTCGCTCATCGTGGACTGCTGATAGCACCATTAGAGTAACAAAGTTGGTTGAGAAAAAAGCAAAGCAAGGATCTGGGTGATGCAGTGGGTAAAATGTGACCCCTGTTAAGGGTAATCACAAGAATCTGACCCAGGGTCCGTGTTTTTGCATGTACCTTAGTGTCATTGTGGTTGTATTTCATATAATCCCCTGCCAGAAGAAATAATAGGTAGTCAATAAGAAGTTAAATACTCACCAATATTTTTTCCCTTCCCAAAAGTGGGAAGAATATAATCGTTCCTAAGTGTTCCGTGGCAATTTCTCATTTACTGTATAACACAAATAAAGTTGCTAATTAAGAGCGAACTAAGATGTCTCTGCCGCGTGGGATATTTCGGAACGTATGAATCTCGTTGGGTCGCACTGCGAAAAATTACATGTTGTTACATACGGCAATTTAAAGATTAGGGGTCATTGCAAAGTTACGGTGGAACATTAGCGATGTCTCCGTGCTCCACCTAATCAACAAGCCATATTGGAGCAGTACCAAGGTCAGTGGACGGACAGCTTTCCTCTTTAGCGAGCTTGGAGAGAATACTCCCTGATGATATCCACTGTTAGCTAATATGGCTTTTGCGCAGTAGACATTGAGCAACTCAGTGTAGAGATATTAAGCCGCTTGTCACTTAATTGCGATTGTTTAAGAAGGTCGAAAATCCTACTACCAACCGCCCCTAGATTACGTAGATGAGTTACGATCGAACACTCATCCACTTTTAATTGGTCGACAAACTTCGCCAGTCCTATGCAACAATCGTACCCGGGTACCTAAAAAAAGCATACAGTTTGCGAAAATTATGGTCAAAACGTGAAAGAATGTTAGTAAGAAGAACAGTTATATACATAGAAGTTGCCCTTCACACTAAAAGGAATTCCGTACATCGGTGGCTTGTCTTTAGCCCGTGACCATTTTTTATCAGCTTGGGTAGCCACATCAAATGCCTAAAAATTTTAAAAAAAGACAATTTCAGTTGGAAAAAGATACGCCTTACTTCATTTCAACGGACCTCCTTAATGACTTCCATACAACAATTAAGTCTTTCTTGCACTTCCAGTGCTTTCCACACATAGGCCTCTAGAACTTCCACCGCTGTTACTTCATCGCGCTGTAGACGACCTAATAAAGTAGATGAAGCGGACGTGGAAAAATGAACCATGAAAAAATAATTCCAATGTAATTGTAGAGATAAACATCATGAAGCTTAACTACATTTTCAGCACATTCAATAATAAACAGTAGTGAATCATGATAACAATGATTAGTAGTGCTGCACTACAATTTCATAGCACGTTGAAACACAACAGATAGGGTGACAGGTTGATTTTACGGGTAGAAAATCGCTTAGTTCATTTGCACACACTGCAAGCCCTACCCAAGGACTTTTTCCAAGTCGGTTCCCAACTTTTAAACACGCTAGGCCGATTAGTAAACAAAAATACTCAAACGATGAAGAGAAACATCTCCAATTATTACTGACATTCCTATGATTAATGATAATCTAATCCATGGAAATTCACAGATAAAAGATGACGTGTCATTGTTTAATCTACTGATTCATTATCACAAAATCCAAGGATAGTTTATTGTCATGATAGAGTGTTTGTAGATATCGAACTGTGGCATACAGAGCTGCGGATTCATTCGTTCCGGTCACCTAATTTGGAAAGAAATTCTATACTTTCAGCTGAAAATAGACCAGCAAACAAAGCACAGTCAAAAGACGACTCCAGTCTGATAGACACGTAACTAGCGAGAGTGAACATTTAGCTGTGCCAACAAGAGCTAACTACTACCAATGATGACCACGTGAAAAGAGCTTTCTCAGAACTACAACTATAGGTAGCAATACAAAGACATGAAAAAATGGTGTGTAGACAGCGTCAGTGATTTCAGATTTCTATTACACTAGATCAGTATCTTCGATAAGCAGCAAGTGCTCTATACATGCCCTAACACTCCCGAAAGGACTCTTAACCTCGGGTTTGTTGCGGACTGGACGACGTCCAATATTCCGCCTTTGAGGACTCGCTAGTGCTTTGAAAATAAACAAGAATTTGAAGATTACTAGAGGATTTCTTAGGTTGTAAACTTGGATGGATTGCAGAAAAGCACTTTCCTCTATCGTTCTATGGGCACGAATATTTATGGTACTATTTGCTATATATTACAATGCTCCATCAAACGAGATTACTATAAGCACTTGAAAATGTTTTCCAACTTATTAACTTCTACTTCACTATTTTTTTTAACCCAAACACTCTACACGACAACTACAATCCACTATAGCAATTAGAATTCAAACAGACGTCGATTAGTACTCAAATTTCTGGTTAGTGAACTCGATCGGAAAACGGTTTTTTGTACGTATTTAAGTGCAGAGTAGAGCCTTTATCGAACAACACCAAATATAACGTCTGTGTTCGGCAAGCTACCAACTGATAACAAAAGTTTGGGAAAACAGTACGATGGACAATACGTTTCATATAGGTCAAGTGTCAAGCTTATCTCTTGGGCCACATTCGTCATACTAACGGAACCTTTCGACATTCTGCAAGAAATCGACCAAAATAAGGAAGACCATTTTCTCTCATAAGGTTCCATCAAGCACCAGGTGTTTTAACTTGCTCTATTGGACCTCATTTATGTTGTGTAGCAGAAGCGGATTTGTACGGAGGCCATGGTTATTGCATAGCAAAGCAGTTAAACAAGTACACAAAATCACTATACTTTGTATTAAGCAGCTTTCAACAGAAATTACAAGTTATGGACGAGGATCCACTAGGTTAGTTTGCAATTTCTGTTTTGTCATGGAGCAGTTTCCATAACGCATCACATTCTCCCACTGAAGACAACAAATCATTGCGCTCATCAACTTCACGAGTTGTTCTTACTTACTTGAAAGTGGCAAAGCACAGCTAAACGAAGTAATAAACTCCCAACAAACTACTTAGTCCTGTAAGAGTGCATCGTCCTTCACCTATCGAAATATAAACTCGTTTCTCATTTAGTAAATCTTGGATAAAGCGCAATCACTAAGAACTGTTTTTATTTGGGACACAGTGGTAAAGTAAGTCGTTAACACGGTCACCATACAAAACTAGACGCGGTAGCATGTTTGCTGCTCGTTATAAAGACAAAGTGGAGGAAAGACCGCTGTCAATGAAGCAAAGCCAAAGAGATTTCTCTCCCGTGTTAATATAGCGCAACTACCGATTAAGACACCTCTAGAAGCAGAAAAGGGAAAAAGTGAATATCGTGAAGCATGAATAACGTACGACTTCCGGAACATAGAATGGTTCGTGACGAAGGACCGTATCAAGAGTCGATAACCCCCCACCTAATACCTTGACAGAATTATTGCCCTCTGTAACAAACATAGTCAAGGGACGCACTTATAATACTAACGAATAACAGAAAAACAAGCTGAGCAAGCAACTGTTACTCTTTCTGGGAATACCAGCAAAAACATAACTAACTTCTTAACTCCAAGAGATGCCACGATAAAATTCCTTTGTACTTTTCAAGTGTTTCTTCATTTTCGGAATAAACTCGGTTACGAAAATGCAAAAATCCAATTGATCGGGCATACCGTTTTCTTTCAATAGCTCGTCGACAATTTTCTTGAGAGCCCCAAAACTGAAAAATGAGAACGAAAATTGGACTCCGGAGAAAAGAATTGACACAGACCTACCTTAACAAAAATAACGCGATATATAACGAACAGAACCAGATTGACCCAAAGAGAAGTGAATACGACCTGTTTGGATGTCCACGTGGATAGATCTAACTCGATCATCATTATTTTGCCTATGCGGATCAAATTTGTTATGAAACCCGATAACTCCTATAAATAAATACTTCAAAGAGGAATTCTTCGGAACAGAACCATCGCACAATCCAACATAGCTCTGTTTGAGATTTATAGCAAGATACATATGTAGGTTAATAAATCTAATCTATAGAAGGAAAAACAGCAAAAAGTCCTCACTGCAAATATAGTCCCTAATCTTTACCAGTATCAAACTATTTGAGATACGACTGCTTCAATCATAAACGTCTTCCTTATCCGCAATATATTGAAATATGTCTCGAGGTGTCTTCAGCCGGTCTGCGTCCCCATCGGGAATCTCGAATCTTAAAAACACACATAACTAAAAGAATGGTATCCCTGAAAGTAGGAAAGTCGTTCTACAACATTATTTAAAATTCACCATGAGCACAAAAAAGTGTAGTATAAGTGGATGTTAAGACTATAATCTGTCATCCAGCGACTCAGTACACAAGTAACAAAGACAATCACTATGCTTCTAAATACGAAGTAACGGTACCTAAAATAATCCCAAATCTAGTAATGAGGGATACTGTACCAGATTTTACCATTTGAGGCTTGTTAAAGATCATTTACCTTCATCAAGGACCACTAAACAGAGAAATAAAAAATGTACTAATGTAAAAAATTTCAGGTTGGTAAACTGAACCACGAAAATTCAATGTTTGTCCTAAAAATTCAGACATAGCAAATACACGACATGCTGCAAAAGAAAGCTAATAGTGTTGTGTTCGAACTAATTAAGGTCCTACAAGGATGACCACGGTAGAAAGTTTTATGTAAAAAAACCTTTTGGTGTTGATCAATACCTGAGGGATACGTCATGCATTCGACTTCACTAAGCATTCTTTGGCGGTGATTGAATGCATATCTGGCCTTTACAATGACTCGCAGTGGTTTATCAATGTATCGAGCCAGTGCTGTAAACCTCCTAGACAAGTCTGGTACCAAATTGTCGACCCCGGAGGGATGAAAGGCCTGGTGGGCCAGTAGCGCTGGAATCGACCTCATGTGCATTGAAGCGCGCCTCCTACCAATGCGCCACACACGTCCCTTATAACCATAGCAGAAGATTTTATATACTTTGACGAGCTACTATGTCAAATTTAAGAAACATTTGACACACGTAGGCTTTACTGTACCGGCTTTCCTAAGTGCAAATTTCCACGGCTGAATTTCAGTCAAACTGTTTGCTGTTTACTGTTTACTTTGTATAATAAATGAGACAGATTTAATGAAGTGTACATCTCCAGTTTGAAATTTGAAACAGATATCGAGTGAAAGTAAAGGCAAAGCCTTTTAGATATGAAAATCCCATTTTCGATTTATTCACGAATTTTGAAGAAGATTGTGGATATTTCAGAATCAGTGATATTGAAAATTATAGATTCACAGACACAAACACCCACCCAAACTCGTCCTCCATAGCCATAATCACCTCAACGTGGTCGAGTGAATCAAGACCTAGATCCTGAAAATCACAATTCCTGTGAAACTTAATACCTCTACTCAAACAACTGAACTGTCTACCTGCACAAAATCAGAATCCAAAGTAAGCTTCTTCGGATCTATCTTATCATACAGACTCAGCACAAGGATGATACGATCCTCCAACGTCTTTTTCGTGAGTGGAGCCTGAAGCAATTAAACACACTGAACTTGGTCAGAACATAAGGGGAGTCAAGAAGATTCCAGCACAATATTTAGTCGCAATTCTATCCGTATACAGAACACCACCGTAACAGTTCAACAATCTCTCAGCAGACCTACAATATAGCCGACTAATACGCCGCCGAAAAAATAACATAGAAACGATGATGCATATGTTTTGTTTTCTACTTTGCTGTTCTTCGTCAGACCTGCGTCACTGCCAAGGTAAAACACAATGAATAGAAGAATCATAGCAAAGCGTTCTTATATCTCCTGTAAGTATATTCCGACGAGTGCAGAACTTTCTAGGTCTACCTAAAACATGAAATGGCTCGCACTTGCAAACTGCTACTTAAATGGCTCGTCTTTCAAAAATCGTGGTGAGGCACAGCATATCCCCCATGTGGTAATTTGTTGGCAGTGCCAGACCTTCTCTGTCTGAAGTCTCTACAGCAGTAGTGGGGCCTCGTGAAGTCCTCACCACAGGCTATCGACGGTCACTGCGCATCGACGAGAAGTTCACCACTTCAACACTAGTTTGGTGCAAAGATGTTAAATCCTGGCATAGAATGAGTTTATAAGTGGGGATGAAATTCGAGGTAGATGGTGGAAGAACATAGAGGAACACCTGGACCACGATAACGTGGTACATAATTGGCGAGGTGGGAAAGAAAAGGATGAAAGTAAGATGTTTTCCATACGATCCGACCTTACATAAAGTGCAGATCCCAGCACTCCCATTCTGCTTCTTGTCTCGTATCGGTGAAAGCCATCCACGAAGGTTTCAAGATTCAAACGAGATGAGCAAACTCGTTCGATAAGGCTTCTGTATATTTCCGAGTAAAGAATAGAGCTTTCCTCGATTGACGTCTACCACTAGTGTCCTGGGTAAGTTAGTTCGAATCACCTGTATCACCTGTAGTCCCGTTGATCGTCGAGCGACTCGAGCGGGCGCCAGTAAATCTTCCATTTTTCTGTGTCGCGTGCAAGAGTAGCCCAGTGGGTTCTCCTCGCTCTAGAGACTCGTCGAGCATCATATCTTTCTTCAAGGCTCTTTGTGAAAAACTCTGACCATCGGGTCGGTGGTCTTCCTGCAGTACGTTTGACATCCCGAGGAATCCAGTCACTAACGGCTCTTGTCCATCGGTTGTCATTCATACACATTACGTGTCCGGCCCACCTTATCTTCAACTGTTCGGCGTACAGAACGGCATCACTGATTTTGATCGTTGACACGGGTCTGAGCTTAGGATCCCATCTCTTACTTGTGTAACACGGGATGCCTAACATCGTTCTTTCGACTGCGCGTTCAGTTACGCTGAATGATCTTTCATTCTGCTTACGCAGCGACCAGATTTCTGACGCATGTATTAGGGCAGGAAGTACCGTTGACTTGGAAAGGTGGGCACAGAGTGGGGTGCTCTCTGTTCTCTTCACTGCATCTTCGATGCCCTTGAAAGCTCGCCAAGCCGCTCATTTCCTTCTACTCAGCTCTAGAGCTAAGTCGTTCATCATATTGATTTCCCAATCTAAATAGACATAACTGGAGCATTCGGAGATATTCGTTCCGTTCAGCGTGAATGGGGCAGGCGAAACCAATAATCCGTTTTTCACGAACATCGCTTTGTGAGATTTAGTCGAAGACCAATCTTTCCACACGCTTTATCAAAGTCCGCAAGCATACATTCCGCTTGGCTAATGTTTGGTGCTGTAAGGACAATGTCATCAGCAAAACGAAGATAATGTAACTGCGGACCATCGATTTTTGCTTCCTTACTATCCCATTCCAATGTTCGCATGACGTTCTGGAGGGTGGTGGTAAATAATTTTGGCGAGATGGTATCGCCTTGTCTAACTCCTCTTTTGACGTCAATGTTAATATCGTTGTAGAATGGTGTCTTGGTTGTGAAATTTTTGTGAAAAACCAGCTAATTTGCTGCGAAACCTATAAATTACATAGAATTCACGCCGCTGTCAATGTGTTAAACTTCCTGAATTTCTCGAATATGCATTCCATCAGTTTACTGTTCATATAAAGGTTTCTAGGCAAATCTCCCTTTGACCAATAAGGGCGGCGACTGCCTGTGGTGGTGACGACCTGAGGCAGAATTCAGACTTTGGCCAAGCTGACCTCAGGACTCCAGGGAAACACAGTGGCTACGCCAGCAAAATTGAAAAATGGAGAATATGCTGGTGCATACACAATCAGTGAGGACGGGCCGTCCTAGCATCAAGTAAATATAGAGGTTTCATTATAGCTAAATAAGTTTTGGATTCGTACCACAGCATCCAGAAAAGTGCTGCGAGGCAGATCACAAGTCCTAGTAGTTTTCATTGAACTAGCCAATACAAGCACGTAGGTTATATTTCCCATAAAACCGATTTCAAGTCCAACAACCGATGCAGCATTGAATCTACACATTTTACTAATCAAATTGCAACTGAATATGCTTCTTGAGCGAACTGAAAGGCTTATTCGATAGCACCAAGTAGAAATAACTGCTCAACTGGAAACACCAATTCAATCCATATAAAGCCTAGGAACATTCCTAATCCAAATTGTACTTTACTCGAAGAACTGATGTTACTTGGTAATGAGAAGACGATGGCATATCACCGATTTCCGAATGTTAGACAATAGTCAAACCACTACCATCGACTCAGATCATCGGCTCTGATGAAGACGAAGCCGTCGAAACGATGGCCGAATAAAGATTGTTTATCAACCTCGTGTGAGATTATCGAAAAAGAGGGAACAGATATTGATTAATCATACCGAGGTTAAAGGAAAGTCGGTTTTGAAATAAATCAAACCAATACCATAGAGATCTGTCAACCACATATTTCAACTGAAAACAAGAAACACCATAATGTAATTGGAATGACAGCTTTAATAACATCCCAAGTAAACTTATGGCCCGTAATAATTCCGAAGCTAGAGGTGAGGTCGTACTTTTCATCTCGGCTTCCTTTCCTTCCAAAACTGGAAGTTTCTATGAAAACATCCACTAGACGGTAAATACTTACTGCAAATGAAAAGAAACACGCTAGACACCGCTGCTTACATAACAAACAAACAGTCATACGTGATATATCATACATCTCCTGTGAAATAATCTTACCAAATCCTGTATTTCGACAAATTATCGACCAGTGAAAAAAAAGACGTCTCGTTAGTATTTCATGTCATTCGTATACGGTAATTTGTCGAAAAAAGAGAGGATGCTCACTTTCTCAGAATACGCCCTCGATTGTATTTTCGTCTTGAAGCCAACCACTCGGTAAGGAACTTGCGACGTCGTTAACGTCACTCTCTGCACACTCATTTGCGCTAGCATAAACCTCGAAGTGTTGAAAATCTGGCGCAACATCACTGTACAACTAGAAAATGAGCATTAAGCGAATACCACACGAATTTCGTACTTCGACAAAGTGTATTGAAAGAAGAACAGATCATTCGTTCTGGAAAATTTCGCGCTACATTGAACCTGGAAGATTATCGGGCCAACGAAGCGGAGCGGCTGCGGTGCGGTCTTTAGAAAAGGGACAAGAATGGAGCGCGGTAAATGATCCATGTACCGAAGAGGCACTGAAGTGTGTGGAAATTTAGAACTACACAGCAGACGAAGCATGTTGGGTATGTGTGGCGCAGTGGTTGGATGCGCCACTGCGACATACACGTGGAATTGATCCACGCGCCCATGGCCCACCAAGCCTTGCATCCATCTGGAGTCGGTGAATTGGTACCAGGCTTGTCTGGGAGGATAGCAGCACTGACTCGATACATTGCTAGGCCACCAATAGTCATTGTATAGGCTAGATGTGCATTCATTCACCTCCAAACGGTGCTTAATCAAGTCGAATGCATGGCACTTCCCTCAGTAATTGATCAACGCTTAGAGCCTTATCCTTTCTCCTTTAAAGCGGATGAAGTATCTGTATGATTATATGTGTGGATCGCCGACCCATTTATAACTACGTTTCTTTTCAATTGTACCTCTATTTCAAGATTCTATTGTTGTTTACGCTTTTATTCAGTGACATCGCTCCTTCCGCATCTTCCTTTGTCGCAGATAACCTATGCAGGCCAACTGCTCAGTGCCAAATTGACTTGTGTGCTACCGTCTATGTGTTTTCATCGCTGACATCTGTGAGGAATTTATGAACGTTTGCTGCTTCCTTCTCCCAAGCTGTGCTTTTGCAACAGTTGTTTGAGTACAGTCCCTTTTCCGTCCTTCGGCATCCACGAAGACTGTGTGGTAGTATAGCTGGTAAGTTGGAACCGGATCTGAATCGCTAGGAGACTACAATTATTTCCTAGTATAGATAAAATTGCAGCCTTAAACCATGGTACTTACCTTGAACACTCGTGAACGTCCGATTCGGGTTGTTAGTTGTTCAAATAAATCGATGTTCATGGCCAAACTCGTGTGGACGAGAACGGCAACGCCGCCGACTCCTCTATTGTCGCATGTTCCGAGAGACAGTTCTTCTCCGGTGTCACAGAGGGCGTTGAAAGGGTGACGGCTTCTCGTCTGCGCTAGGCCGATGACGTCGTACCGTGTGCGTCTTGCTTGCATGATCAACTCTTCTATCGAGGACTGAGATGCAAGTGTGCGTGCAGTGTAGGTACAGATCGTCACCATAGTTCTTCGCAATCCAGGCAGCTTCCATTGTCCCTGAGATTTTAGCAGCCTCTCCGTACTCATCCTACCCAACGCTGCCGAATCGGGGCTCTTTCTTGGTCAACGGAATGAGGCCCGTTTCTTTTACTGTGTTTAGCATTTGGATACCCACGTATACCTTGCTGGGCACTGAACGTGGGGGCTGGGTATACTCACGGGTAGCTTACCAGTCTCTCCCAGACTTGGCATGGAGTTTATTTGTTGGAGACGATTCCTAACCGCCTCCCATATACTTTCCTGTCACTTGATTGCAGGTTTTTGGCCGAATTGACTCGTAGAATACAATCCGCCTAAGCGAGAACGTTCCCA